TCACTGGGGGGGGAAGGGAGGGAGGGGAGGAGGAAATAAAGCCCAAAGTAAGGCCATTTAGCAAAATTTTCTTTTCCGTCTACCACAGCTCAGACAGCCATTCAGTGAAAATGGGACCAAAAGGATCCCTTCTGCACCCAGGAGTTTTGGAAACAGCTCCTCAGTGCTACAGTACATAGATCAAAGGTATCATAACATGACATTTTATCTCACCATTCTACACCTTAATGTGACAATATTTAACAAATGTAGCCTCACAACAGGGATGAGGAGGGGAAATTTTATTTCTTTTATTTTTATGAATGGATCGGTTATCAGACACAACAGAAATTAGTCCATTATGAGAATATTTCACATTTTCCATTCATTCACTGCATGAAATACAAAAACCGTTCTGGAGCCTGCGTGTACTTTTCAGTATTGTCCCTTCAATATGAACACCTTAACCATCAGAAAACAGGTAATATCTGCTTTGACACCCTCTCTAGCCCATTCTCTGCTGCATAGTGAAACAGCTTCAAATGGAGAGGCAAATATTGCCTCCACCTCAAACCAGAAAATACATCAGGATAGTCTCTAAGGAGACGGGAGAAAAGACTAGATCTTCCTATTAACACTATTGATTAATGAGTCAGAAGAGCATTTCAAGCTCTTCTGGCTTTGCTTTTTAGGAAAAATAATGACTGTCCCCAATATCATTGTGCATCACACCCATCCCTGCAGATTTATCAAGTATCAAGCGTGCAGTGAGAAGACAGATTAGATAAAAACACTGAAGGGACCTAACCTCTGAATTTTGAGTGGTCTTCAGCATGGATGTACCATTAGGTCACATGGAGGCTGGGATACTTATAGTCATGTACAGAACTGTAAATCTACACACACAACAAACTTAAAAATAAAAATTGAAAACAAAAATTAAAATAGTAATTAAAAAACATAATGAATAATAAAAAAAAACTTCCAAGGAAAAAGAAATAAGGAAGGTAAAAGAAAAAATGACAAAAAAAGGGAGAGCTTGCCAGTTTCAGGAAAAGGTTTTTTAAGTGAGGTATAATCTTTATGTCTTATTAGAGGTTGGAATCTTGCCATTTTCCCTGGAGGTACTGACTTCAATAATAGAGCATCACCTTCATGGGTTTTACCAGTAAAAAAAAAAAAAAAAAAAAAAAAAAAAAACATTTGAACTTTATATTTTTAAAAAAACTTTATATGGGCTTCTATATGGAGTCTGTCATGCACAAGGCCTGAGAAAGTTTAGTGAAGGCTCCTGATAAAAAAAGGACCACTTAATGTGTTTACAAACCAAGTCTTCACTGTCTATTGATCTGAGATAATAAGACCTGACCAGCTTTGCATCCAATTTTTAAAATTCTGTTTCAGGATCTATAAAATTTTTAATATTTAACTAAAAGACAGTTCATTTGACAAATGTAAAAAAACTTAAGTCCTGAAAAATAACTAATATTTATTATAAGCTAACCATCTGGAAATAACTGCTGAATACCTCTTTTGTTGAAACTTCATAGTATGCTCTCCATTTAAATAAAAGCAGAATTAAAGTTTTTTAAATTTTAAAATTTTAAAAATTTTTTATTCTGACAAAAAGGCTTCACAGAGAAAGTCACTTTTGCAGAAACTCAGAGGCCAGTGAGTGGTAAAAAGCAGCTCTGGCACTTCACCCTCTTTGCCACAAGATGGCACGAAATATATAACTTACAAGGACGAATGTAAAATGAATAGCACACTAAGAGAAGTATTAAAAAGAAAAGAGAGCCTAAATGCGTATGTATGACTTTTGGCAGGATGGAAAATCCACAAATACACACATAGAGATCATTCTGCAGAACTGTCAATCTAAAGTTTATTATGCATAACACAGGCTTAACCAAATCATGTCAGCCTGTTCAGTGGTCCAGATTTAAATTACATATAGCCATACACAATGTGTGGTGATCTAAGGTGGCTGGAAACAGGCTGGCATGGGACCAGAAAGAAGAGCTTCAAAAACATAGTGGGAGATAATTGTGGCTGAATCACTCCCAGTCTGAGCCTTGGCCAGGGAAGGAGGTGAGTGAGTGGGCGGTACAGGCAGGTGCAAGTGGAAGTGGGCAAAAGGCAGATCTAAAGGGACATTTTTGTATAACTACATATATAGCATACAAGAGAAAAATATATGGATTGTTTAATTTGTGTGCTGATTTCTGAGCTGTTCTGGTGAACTCAAAGGTCCTTGCTAAATTCATCAGATCTGACAGTGTCTGCCAGAGATGAACTTCTTATATCAATTGAATATGAGTATTTAACATAGTAAATACTGCCAGATTATTAACAAAATATTGTGATTTTGGAGTTTATAGCTGTACCCACAACAATCAACAGGTTGCAATATGGGAAATGCTGTTCCAAATCCTTCTCTTTACCCAAAGAACACAGGTGAAGGGCTGCAGAAAAAGAAACGTGTGGTTTAGAGATCACTTAACAGGGATGTATTGGAAAGAAAAAAAAAAAAGCAAAAACAAAACTAAAAAGTTTCTTGATTTGGGTGCTAGAAAAAGGAGAGTCATTATTTCAAACAAGAACAGATCTTACTGCAGATGTTTTGGTGCATAGTGCAGTGAGAATATGGAATTGGGGTTTTTTTCACCAAACTTTAATAGTCTTGAAAACTGGGTCAACTTCAGTGTAAATCAGCACATCTGATCACTAAGGATATTTTGTAATTAGCTCAGAACAACAGCATAGAAATATATGGAAATTAGAGAGCTTCAAAGCCTGTGGGATTTTTCATTGTATGGCTGTCCAAATGTCCAACTAATTTCCATTCTATGTGTTTGCAAAACTATCTAAGAAAGCTTGACCATATCTGCAGCCCTAAAAAGTTGCTCCAAATTGCAGCTGTCTCACTGTTGCAATAAAAATTAGATTTAGCAGTTGTGTTCTCAACTGTTCTCAAGCAGTGCTAACATCTACTGACTGCATTTCTTTCCAGACAGCAACCCAGGAACAGAAAGAGCTGTCTGCTGCTCAGTGTTCAGGGCTCCTAAATGTCTTAAAATTGGAAAAACCTCAAGTCCTAGAAGAGGACCCACAAGCTCACAAATGCTCACACAAAATGCTTGGTGCACATCCCCTGTCCTGACAGCACCTGTGGTATTCTCAAGTTGTGTGTCCAGAAATGGATCAGCAAAAGACAGAGATTCTAGTGAGACTGAGGCAAGACAGGGCTATGAAGTCTGCAGGTGATAGACAGGGAAGGGTTTGCAGTACCTTAGCAAAGTATTTTATTCCTCTGCAGCAAGTCTGGAACAGGCAAATGCAAGCAGTATACAAAACATGTCACACATACTCCAATTATGTAGGAAAGTCCCCTTCTTATCTATCTAGATACAAGTAAATTTAAAAATCCAGATGAATATCCACTGGGAAAACAAGATTTGGGTTTTCAACTCCCTGGAAAATGCAGCTGCTCTTCATCATCTCTGCAGATTCGCCTCAGAGAGGTGGATGGTGACAACCAGCCCAAAACTGGCAGGATAGGAGCTGTGACCCGAACTTGATGGATGGAAGCTGCATCCATTGCCTGGCTGCCAGCTTTCACATGTCCTGCAACAACTTCAGACCACGGAATTGTGGTTTCTATGAGTCGTGGAGGACACAGCTATCTTTGAAATTATAGGAAAGAGGAAAAACGTGCAAATAAACACATGCATGAGACCAACTGAGTCTGAAGGCATGAGAGCAATAGGAAAAGCATTGGCAGAAGAGGAGTAAAACACTCTTTTTATAGCTGGACTCAATGATCTTAAAGGTCTTTTCCAACCTAAAACGATTTTATGATTCTGTGAGCTAAGTATGTATGAAAGGTTACCACAAGATGGTGCAAAACCACAGAAAGTCCTAATTTATGCCCAAGACTCACTCTAATAACTTTGGCTACAAAAGCATCCACCAGGTGTCAGGCCAAGGGAAATATGAATGACTTTTTTTTCTTTTACTTGAGAAAGGCAGTAAGAATAGGCAAATGCTTTCAAAACTTAACTGCTCGTATGAAATTTTAGCGGTGCTCCTCTGTGTAGACCCCCAAAGCACAGTGGCTTCAGGGATGTCACCCACCACCATAATTCTCATTGAAAGCTTTGTGTCTGTGGGGAATTAGCTAATGTAGCATAAATAACCAAATCCAGAGCATTAACTAGAGAAATAGCAACACAGGGTTGGGTAAAAGCAGTAAGAATGAAAAAGAAACAAAACCCAACAGTGGAAAAGAAAAAGTTTCCAAGAAGGATTCTCAGGCAATGCAAGTTGTATTACTTGGGCAGTCATCCATCCTACAATAGTTCAGTTCAGATGAATCAGTACTAATTCGCAGAAGTTTCCAGGGAGGATTCTCAGGCAATGCAATTTGTGATTTACGCAGCAGGCTAGGGTATTTTTATTTTTATTTATTGCCATAAGTTTCCACAATTTCCTATCAAGCTTTACTCTTCTCTTTCCATAACAACAAAAAAAAAGAACAAAAAAACCCAAACCAACAACAAAAAAAAAAAAAAAAAAAAACCAAACCAAAACAAAAACCAAAACGAACAAAACCCAACAAAACGACAACAAACAAACAAAACCCCAACCAACCAATCCAAAACAAACAAAAAAACCAATGAGGAGACATACAAGGGAGAGTCTGCCCATTTCAGCACGAGGTTTGTTAACTTTTATCTCTTTATAGAGGCCTGAATACTGCCGCCTCCCCTGGAGCTACTGACTCCAGCAGTAGAACATCCCGCTCAGGCCGGTATCCCGTCGGTGCCCGGGGCCCAGACGAACCCCACTATCCCCTCCCCAGTGTCCCGGTGTCCCCCGGGGCCCCATCGGGGCGAGGGAGCTCCCCGGCGGGGCGGGGCGGGGGCGGGGCGGCGCATGCGCGGCGGCCCTTGTTTGTCGCACGGCTTATAAGGCGGGGCCGGCGGCGGTGCCGGGAGCGCCTTTGTGGGGAGACGCCGCGCCGGCACCAGCTCCCCCCCGCGCCGCCCGGGCTGGGGCCGGGGCTCCCCGCCGCCCCCATGAGCTGGCTGTAAGGTACGCGCCGCCGCGCCCCTTCGCCCGAGGGGTTCGGGGTTGCTTGTTTTTGGGTTCCCTCCCCCCCCCTTCCTCCTCCTTTTTTTTTTAACAGACTATTTTTGTACACTTTGCTATAAAACCATGGTGCTGGGGAAGGTGAAGAGTCTGACGATAAGCTTTGACTGTCTGAATGACAGCAATGTCCCCGTGTACTCTAGCGGGGACACGGTCTCAGGAAGGGTCAGTTTAGAAGTAACTGGGGAAATTAGGGTGAAATCCCTCAAAATTCACGCGAGGGGACACGCTAAAGTGCGTTGGACTGAATCGAGGAATGCTGGATCCAACACTGCCTATACACAGAACTACACCGAAGAAGTGGAGTATTTCAACCATAAGGACATCCTGATCGGCCACGAGAGAGGTAAGGGCTGCCCTTCATCGTGCTGCTTTACTTTGGGGGGGGAAAAACCCGCATCGCTGCATCACCCCAGTTTATCCTGCTCTTTTTTAATGTATGCAGTGGAGAGCAGGACATGCCCAGGGTCATACCTTGGCGAGTTATAGGCAATGCATCTGCAAAGTACCTGCAAGCAGGGCTCCTTCGAAGTACCTGCCCTTCAGTGCGACCATTTATTAACAACTTTTTTTTTTAATGTGCTACCTTTTTTTCCTTGCTAATATTGAGTAGGATTTGCCCGTCCGTGGGGAAAACAGCTGTAAAATCAGAGCCAGATAGGCACCGCACGACTTTATTGGCAGAATCCTGACAAATCCTGAAACACAATGAAAGCGTAAAAACCGTACTTTTTGACACATGCGGGGTTTTGCTAAGGCTACTGGGATAATAATACAATGAATTTTTCAGGAAGGCTCGTTATTGGCAAATAAGATTCTCTGTGCCTTATTTTGACATATCACCACCCCACGTGTCATTTTTTTTTCCTCTCATTTTCTTTTACCCCCTCGTTGTAAACCGCTTTAATTTCCTTGGACCCCCGTCGGCGGGACGGGGTGGGGAGTGTCACCCCCGTATAACGATGTGTCCGAAAAGCCCTTGATAGGTAGCAAAAGGGGGGAAGAGGGGAAGCGGTGTTGCGTAATGGGAGCATCCCTCCCAAAACTGGGGAGATCGGGACCTCCTGCTCCCCCATTTCCCACCCGACCCGCCGCAGTGTCCCCACGGAGTGCAGACCACCGTCCCCGGCGAGCTGGGAGCGCCGGGGTCCGGCCGGTCTGTGTGGTTCTTGGTTGGTTGTTTTTTTTTTCCCCCCCGAAGTTCGCAGCCTTTGTTCGAAGCGGTTCAATCCTGTTTGGGACCGGCTGAGGGGGGGCGGTGCGCCGCCCGCTCCGCGCAGATTGGCCGCACGCGTCAGGTGGTGACGATGACTTAATTCCCCAGCGCAATAAAATAATGTTAAAAACCTGTTATGTAATTTTTTTGTGTGCTGCTTACCTTTTCTTTTTCTTAAATATGCATCATATTTACTGCAGCGATGCGGTATTTCTCCTTTTTTCGGGGAAGAAAAAAAAATGTAATTTTTTGAACAGCTCTGGGCGGCACTGAGCCCATCACCGACCATTCTTGAACTTAACTCAGTAGCAGAGCTGGGGGCTTTATTTATTCATTCTTTAATTAATGCCTCGCGCACACCTCACTAACGAGGTGACTTACTTGCGGCTCCCTCCCTTCTCCTGTCGCTGCTGCCTCAAAAAAAAAATCACTCGCCCGAGCGAAACTTCCTGGGTGCCAGGAACGTGCGGACACGCAGGAGCCGCCCGTGGCATGAGCGCGCGCGCCGCGGAGCTGCCGCCGCCGGCCGCGTTTCAATGAGCGCCCCGAGCGCTGAGCCTCGGCCCGGCCGCGCCCCCCGCCGCGCCCTGATTGGCCGGCCGCGGTTTGTTGCCCTGTTGCTAAGGCGATGCCCGTCGCTGATTGGCGGGGCGCTGCCCTCGGGGCGAAGGGCGCAGTTTCCCCTCCTTGTCCCCGGGCGGGCAGCGGCCGCTCCCCGACGGGCTGGCGAAGCCCCTCCGAGAGGGAGGGCTGTGCCCAGTAACGTCCCCGCCGCGGGCCTGTCGCCGGAGGGGTCCCGGCGGGGAGCGGCGGGGCCCGCCCTCGGAGGGCCGCGGGCACAGCGCACAGCGCGTGCCTGCGAGCGGCGGGGCTGGCGGCGCTCCGCGCGCGCCGGTTCAGGCCGGTCGGCTCCGGCTCCGGCTCCAGCCCGCGCTGATTGACAGCTCAGCACTTGTTTACCGCGGCGGGACTGCTGAGCTGGCAGGAAAGGGGGAGGGAGCCAGGCTGTGGGGAGCGGAGCCGCAGCCGAGAGCGCCGCTGCCCCCTACCCTCGGAACAACGTTGAAAAAAAAAATTATGTTCTTTTAAAAGAAAAATTAAAAACTCACACACACATACCCTTATGGCGATACGTTATGCCGCCCTTTCAGCGCGTTTTCCTGACCTGTGTTGGGTAATGCTTCGTGCTTGAAGGTGCATTTATGTCCACATCTTGCTGAGGGGATTTTTTTTTTAATATATTTTTTTTTGCTGTTTGTTCTTTTTTTATTATTATTATTTTACTTAGGATTTTCAATGTTTGCACTGTAGGAAGTGGAGCATCGGTGCTTCTGTAGGACAATGGGAACTTACAACCCTCCTGCGTGCCTCCATTAGCGCTTAAGACTGCTACACATATGCTCTTCCCTTTCACTTTGTCTCGCTATATCTCCATTTATTATTCCAGCCATTTTTACGTGTAAGGTGCTCAGTTATTTTTTACAAAACTTTTGTATTTTGACCAAGTCAGCGTTCTTCTGGTCTTATGTCAGAATAAATGTCAGTTTTCTTGTAGCATATAAAGTAATCATGACCATGACCATAAACAAGGGGCAGCGTTCCTGGCAGAAAACCAGCAAGTGTCTGAGTCTTGCTGTCTAAGCAAGATCAAGTTAAACCTCCCCCAAAAAAAAAAAAAAAAACAAAAAAACTTAGCTCTAGACAGTGTTAATCGGGCAGCCTGCCATTTTCTGTGTCCCTGACTTTGTCTGGTGCTTTCTTGGTGGTGCTTGTACACTGTTATTCCGTTCTCACACTTTTTTATGATTAACGGCCTGACACCGTTGCCAGGCTGGAGATACAAAGAAGCTGAATTACTACATTTAATCTTAAGCAGCAGACTCGGTACAGTTAATGCTGCTACAGAGCCATCTCTGGTTCATTCTGACTAGCAATTGCTGTGGAAAGCAGCGTGATTTCCATTACAGATCTTACATGCAGGCCTTGAAATGGCAGCAGTTGAAACTGTGTCAGTGTTCAGAGGCAGGATTATAAATTAAAACAAATTTTTCTGCTTCTTTGTAAAGTGAATGTGGCAATCTTGCCTGCCTTTCTGTTGGTCAGAGTTCTCCCTGCATTCCAGCAGTTAATAACCAATGGACTGGAGGGCCTTGTTTCTGGTGCATCACGTTCTTTTAAGTGTTGTAATGTGTGTGAAAATCTCTTTTATTCTGGAAGAGAAGCCCATGCCTTATATGAAATGTGTGCAAGTGGAATAGCATGTTGGTTTTTCTCTCCTCTAGATGATGACAACTCAGAAGAAGGCCTGCACACCATCCTTTCGGGAAGGCATGAATATGCATTCAGCTTCGAGCTTCCACAGACGTAAGTACCCCCACACAGTCCTCAGGCCCTGCTGCCCACCCGCCTGACCAAAACTCCTGCTGTGGGTGGAGGGGAAACCTTTTCAATGGTAGTAGGAATTGTGCTCCAACATGCAGCAGAGAACATACTCTTGTTACACTGAAGAGGTTGCTTTTACACTGATATATATTCTTTTTATAGCTGCCACAAAAAGGTTCATTGCTGCCCAGTTGCTCACTTTCTTTTGACCAAGTCCTACTGACTTTTTAGGTATTCCAATCTACTACCCCTTCCAAAGAGGAGGGAGTGGAATTTGAACTGCCACTGGAGTCCTGCAGAGTAGCTGAGATACCTTCTAACTCAATTGGCCATTTACTGGAGCTATGCAGACCAGCAGAACTAGAGATAAGATCAGAGTGGAATTGTTTGGCCTCAGTCTGGGACAGATGCATCTGGAAGAGATGCAGCAAATTTAACCAGATTTCAACAAAAGAGAAGGTTGTTTGTACTCAAATAGGATGTATGTACCCTGGCTGGCCTTTCATGCAGAAAGGAAGGGTAGAAGAAAGTTCCCATACCTAACCCCATTTACCTTAGAAAGCACAGGTGAAGCAAGAGTGAGAGCAGAAGTGTTAAGATAAAGATTGTTCTCCCATCACTGTCTGAAATGTGTAATGTACACATTGTGGATGCAATATTTACACATAGAAGAGTTAACAATATGGAAGTGAGCTAAAATACAAGTTGCAATAAAATTAAATACACAGGAAAAGGAGGAGTCTGAATAAGGATGGAAAAAGGAGCCTTTTGCTGTAAAGGGCAAGTAGTGAAGTCATTAAAGTTTTGAAAGTCACTTGAAATTTGGCAGTGTGTTATGCAGAATAGTTCACTACCTAATATTAAAGCTGTTTATTGGAAGTGGTGGTTTTAGCGGAACCTGCAGATGATAAACGCTTTACAGGTCAGTTTCAAAGTGTACAGCACAGAACTTCTACACTATTCCAGTAACATTTACTATGAAGACCTTAAAGGCAAGTTAGCATTGTGTGAAAATCTCAACCGCAAGAAGAAGTAAGGCTAATACTGATTTTCGCTTGAGTTGGAAAGGGCATTAAAAAAACCCCACCCCAAAATATCATATACATGAACATGAAATGCTGAGCTTGTAGTGAAACAGCCAGCCAGAAAAATATCACAAGTATTTGTCAAAGTACAGGTTCTTTTTAAGTGACCTGAAGGAATAACTATTAAACCAGTTTTTGATAATACTGAAAAAGGGTGATATTAAAAGCTTGAACTTTGACACTTCATGGTTACGCTACTTACTTGCTAATGTCCATGGAATACTTCCAAAATCGACTTAAACTTCAGAAAAACAACAGAAAGATGTGCACCATCCTGACTGATTTTTGCCCTACAGAACATGAGGCAGAATGAAACATTGGAGACAGATTAGAAAATCTTTTTAATTGGATTATTAGGGGGAAAAACATAAACATGTCAGATGTGCAAATAGACAAGTCAAACCTGTAACTGAAAGAATAATTCTAGTAAAGCACTAGCATGGCTAGTATTAATCCCTATGGAAAATATGGAAACTTTGCAAATAATTTATTTTTAATGTATATGTAACAGTATATTCAAAACATAGTAAAATGGAAAAAGAAGAGTTATGGAAAACTACTGTTAATTGGAAATATTGGACTACAAAGATACTTCATGTTGCGTTTTAGGATATTACAGTAAAAAAGGCAACGCTTAAAGGTCTGGAAAACCTTTCCACATTATCTCTCTTCCAGCTCCTAAAATAGACTTACTGGATGTATCAAAGTTCAGAGTAGAGTAGTCTTGATGATTTCATGTGTGTATATATATGTACGTATATATAGGCTTGTATATGTACATCCTTATGTATTATAAATGTTTTAAGCTGGTCTCATCAAGGTAGAGGAAAATTAGAAGGTGCTCAAAATAGCCTCTGTCTTCAGAACTCCCAAGTTGGAATATTTGCTCTGCTTTAGGGTGAAACTAACTACAAAAACGCTGAGTTACAGTTAAAGTTAACCTCATACTGAGCTACTGGCCAAGTTAGGTAATAGACAATGATTTACAAAATGCAATCCAAAACTGTAAATGGTTTATACTAGTGCTAATTTTAAGTTGGTAATCAAATTTTAGCCTTGAATTTGCATGCTTTACTCTAGATGTGAAAGTAGCCTCTTCAGTTTAAAGGAAATGTGTACTCTCCTGGCATTTTCTAGTACAATTCTTTAATTGATTCTTAAAATCTATGCAAAACTACGGTAGGATGAATTGGGGATGATTTTTTCTCCCATCTTTAATCTTGAATTTTTCTGAGATATGGAAACTTTGCAAATAAGTTACTCTTCATTAAGTACTACAGTGCATTAAAAATGCAGTTCTGTATACTAATCCCTGACCTGATCAATTCAATTTTGACCTTTGTGTCCTGCACAGACCACTTGCTACCTCATTCGAAGGCAGACATGGCAGTGTGCGCTATTGGGTGAAAGCCGAATTGCATAGGCCTTGGTTTCTACCAGTAAAATTAAAGAAGGAATTTACAGTCTTTGAACATATAGATATCAACACTCCTTCATTACTGGTAAGAATTGACAGAATTATTCATTTTTTGTTCCTGGCATAAAAAATAATGAAGTATAGTAACTGAAATACTATCCACATCTAATTTTATCTAATACTTATTTGCTACTTTAGTTATGGCCAATCATCTCAGTATTTCATTAGTTCAGCAACTCTGATATTTTGAAAGCTATGTTTTCCTGTACTTGGAGTTGCTTCTCTTTTAAGATATGTAAAATGGCTTTATCAATTTAAATTGATAATACTAAATTGTTAAGAAGGAAAATTTTGAGAACTGAACTGTTCCTCTTGATTTTGAATAAAGAAGGAACAGTGAAATTTTCAAGAATTATGACAGACTGCTAACTTAAAAATGCAAAGTAAAAAATATACTGGTGTGCATAATTGATAATTTCCATATGGATAGTTTTCTACCAGTGGGGAGAAATTATCACAATTCTCTATAATCTTTTTCTGAAATGTCATTTCATTAAAATAATTTCAGTATCACAACTGCTTTCAATGAGGATTTGATTTCAATCTGGCCTAAAATTCCATTCCCCACCCCCACTTCTTCAGATGCTCCCTTACGGGGGGAGGGGGGTGGTGGTGTGTGGAAAACCTCAAAGTCCATTGAAATAGGTTTCTTGTGTGTATGGGTGAAAAATCAGACTTGCAAAGGGACATTGGTCTTGCACAAATACCCTTAAAATCAAAAGACTCTCATTTGACTTTAATGGGCTTTGGATCAAGTCCTAAATCCTAGTGTCGTGTAAAATAACAAAGTCTGTTTAATATAGATGAAACAGGATCTCTTTGCAACAGGAAATAGCAGGAGTCAAGGTTACAGTATTTCAACTTAGTTATTGTTTCTGAAATAGTGTACTGAAAAGACCTTCTAGTTTAATGATAAATTAAAAGCTCTTCCAACAGTATGCTGAGATATATAGGCTGTAAAACCTTTTCTTAAGCTATGCTATATTTATTTGTGTATAAAAACCTGTTCTAAATGTGACTGTAGTATGAAGTCTAACAAAAAAAGCAGTGTTAGTATGGAATTAGAATACACTTTACAGTTTGCATAGTGCATTTTGCTTGAGAATTCTTCCTCTAAATAAAACTAGCTATGCTTATCAAAATGTGTAATAAGTACATTATTAAAATAATTTTTCGGTCTTGATTAGAATAGGTTAAAAGAGTCATGGAGCTCTCAATTGAATGGACAATGTTGTTTTTTTTCTTGCAGTCACCCCAAGCAGGCACAAAAGAAAAAACTCTCTGTTGTTGGTTTTGTACCTCAGGCCCAATATCCTTAAGTGCCAAAATTGAAAGGAAGGGCTACACCCCAGGTATGTAACAGAAGTAATTATAGGAAATGTTTTTCCTTCCCTTTTAAAATGACACTTTGTACTTAACTGCTGTTATATAAAAGAAACATTTTAACTATTCTTACCACCTCAGTTTCATCAAGCTTGCTATTTCTAAACAACTGGCTTTGTTAACTTGCTATGTCTCCAGATTGTCAAAGGGCATCTGCTTCTATTAGACCTGTGCATTTTTCTGCCAGAAGTATCTCATGCTGACCTTATTCCTGTTAACATCAGTAGGTGTTGTTCAAAGTGTAGAGCATTGCTAGTGCATTACAACAATACACAGTATGTGGCAATTTGCTTCAGTTGTCATGCAAATACAAAGAGAACATGAAATTGTTTTGTTTCAGGTGAGTCAATTCAGATCTTTGCTGAGATTGAGAACTGCTCTTCCCGTGTGGTGGTGCCAAAGGCAGCCATTTACCAAACACAGGCATTTTATGCCAAAGGAAAAATGAAGGAAGTCAAACAGCTTGTTGCCAACCTGCGCGGGGAATCCTTGTCATCTGGCAAAACGGAAACCTGGAATGGCAAACAGTTGAAAATTCCACCTGTTTCCCCTTCAATCCTTGACTGTAGTATAATTCGTGTGGAGTATTCACTGATGGTATGTTGGGTGGTTTGTTTCACTTGAGCATGAGTAGTTTCCATTATTCCGTGCAGATTTTTAGCAAAACATTGTGGGCTGCTAACTAGTTAGAAAAGAAATACATAACCTACCATTAGTGTCCTGACAGAAATTCTGTAAATAAATTCAATTTAAATCTTGCATGTTCTATAAAGCAGTTGTGCCATGCCAGATAAGCAAATGTGTTATGAGTAGGCAGCATTTCCAAGTGAGGGCTTGTGTTAAGAATCTTTAGCTGCTTTTGACTTGGGGAGCTATTTATCTCTCTAGGGACGTTGGCTCCAAAACAAACAAACAAAAACTTCAGTTCCTTGTGAAGAATTCCATGGGTGGAGACTTTAGTCTAATAATTATGAAGTGCAGGTACAAACCTATTTTTGATCATACACCTCTTTGATGTTCTTTAGGTATATGTTGATATTCCGGGCGCCATGGATTTATTCCTCAACTTACCACTGGTCATTGGCACCATTCCTCTACACCCGTTTGGCAGCAGAACATCAAGTGTGAGCAGCCAGTGTAGCATGAACATGAATTGGCTTGGTCTGACGCTGCCTGAAAGACCAGAAGGTAACCTGACAAAACAAGTCTGTTTTGATTTTTGTCTGCTTTATTCATTGCTGTCATGCAAACAGATACAAATTACATCCCTCATAATAAAGCCCACAGGAAATCCCTTGTGGATGTTTCCTTACCACCTGCCTGTCCTGTGTAGAAGAACAGAGTTTCCTCCCTGTCTTCCTCTCTTGGGGACAAGCAGTAGAATCCAGCCGCTTGGACACTGGCACAACCGAAAGCATGGAATGCCATTGTACCTGGGCAGAATTAATCCTGCCTCCAGTATCCCAATTGCATCCTTGATTATAAGGCATTGTAACCTGTCAAAGTAGCAGTTAAGGCGGGCGACCTTTACCATCCTTAGTATCCAAGGCTTTGTGAAAAGACAGTGTAATCCATTGCAGTGGGAATCGTTTGTCAAAGGAGAAACTCTGTATCTCTTTCCCTCTTTTTGCATACAAGTACCTAGGGTGTTTTGTGTGCAAATCTCAGACTGATTTGTGGAGCCCAAAGAAATGCAATATGCTAATATTCCTGCCTGTACAGAAATTCAGTATTTTGAGTATGCATTAAATTTTAAGAGATATTTAACCACAATAAACAACAGTCAGTCTGCTGTTGGATTTGAGCATAGTCTTAAAGTAAACCGTAACAGCCTACCCTCCCTTTCAATGTTCAAGAACTGGAAAAATCACTGAAGTTACTTATCTACCTGCATTTTACACTTTACAATGATAAAAGTTTTAATATTTATCATGTTATATGTTCTGACATGCATAAGAACTTGTTGTTCGAACTGCGTGTGCCTTTTCCCTGCAGCACCTCCCAGCTATGCAGAAGTGGTCACAGAGGAACAACGACAGTCCAGCCTTGCACCCTTAGGTGCTTGTGATGACTTTGAGAGGGCACTTCCAGGACCATTGTTTGCATATATCCAGGAGTTCCGTTTTCTGCCTCCGCCCCTCTATTCAGAAGTAGGTACCTCAGAATATAATCACGAATTCAATGTTTTTCTGATTGTGTGGAAAAAATGTAGGAAAGTGTTTCTGCTTTATAAAAAACAGGAAGAATAATTAAAATTATGAACAGAGGATAAGGAAACTTTGTTTTAGCAAAGTGCAGGTAAATTGCATCAATAATTTTTCAGGATTCTTCACTATTCTAACGCTTTGTAGAAATTTCCAAGCTGTTATGCACCGTCTGGGCAACTTCATTAAAACCTTGCATTATATATATAACACATGCATTGATGAACACCAACATTTTGAGTGTACAGATGCACAACCTGCTAATGTTTTTCACCTCTACTTTATAAAAGTACTGTTTATTTTAGGTTCTGTGTATCTATTGCTTTCAGAAGTTCTATGTAGAGAAGTTGCAAAGGTATTCTTTCTGACTTAGGTTTCTCTAAATGCACAGTTTCAACATTTCTGTCTGCAGTTTTAAGTTCTGTGAAAGCCACTCAGTAACTGGGACATGACTTCAAAAGCTCTCTATGTTCATATTTTTTGAGAGAAAAGAAGTGGTATAGGACAGAATAGTGTCCTTTGGCTAAAACTTGCCTGGCTTTCACCCACTCTTGATTTTTTTTCTTTTCCTCTTGTAACATTTGCCTGCCATTAAGTGATTGAGTGGGCAGTGAGTGATGTGTTTTTTGTCTGCTGGAGTCTTATCTGAAAACTCTTCCATAGCTTAACACTAGAATACAACTCAGGCTCTTTTGTTTAGAGATTTAGAAAGAAGCCTTTACTTTGTCCTAAACAATGGCTTTCTAAAATTAACTGACCAAACTGTATACTAGACTTACCATTAAATTAGCGTGTTCTTCACCCATTCCTTTTGTAGAAAGGAAGAAGACGTAATGTGTGGAACACATGAACTTCCAAGACATTTTATGGGGTGTTTGAGGATTAATTACCTATAAATTAAATAGAAGGAGGTTTTGTACCTTTCTAAGCAAAACGTCTTCTGAAATCAATGTAATGTTTTAAGTTAACATGTTTAGTGATGAGCCAGGTTGTCTTTTTGTGTACAATAAATAAATAAAAATTTTTCTGTGCTACTAAAACAGGATTTTCCAATTTTTTAATTACTTCTTTGTGCTTATCTTTAAATTGCTATCAACCTGTAGCTCAAAGTTTTCCATTAAGTTACTAGTTTGTCGTTGGAAGTTCATCTAACTGTGTAGAGGTATTTCAGTTACTCGAATAACGTTTGGATTGGGAATGCCATTTATCACTGATTGTCTTAGACTCATCAGTTTTGGTGGGTTTTTGTTCAGATTGGTTTATTTTCTAGCAATTGGCTAAAAATAACTTGGGTTGTTGGGTTCTTTCCCTCTTTTGTTTAGATTGATCCAAACCCAGATCAAACCACAGACGACAGACCATCTTGCCCCTCTCGTTGAAGGAATCCATAAGGAGCTGACTTGACTTGGGTTTTGAACCATACCTGCCGTGTTGAAGGTCAAGGCATCATAGTGGAGACGCTTTCAGAGAAAGTGGTTTTGCTCTTGCCTGTATGGTGAATAAATGAAAACAACCTGTGATCATGCTTTGAAGCCTGCAGTAACATTGTAGGACTGCTCCACATGCTTGAAGACCTGAGCTTTCCCCCCTCCCTCTTAAATACTGGCACATACTTAGGAGCAGCCTTACTAACCTACAGTCATGTGTGTCCAAACACTCAAACATGTTAAGAGAGGGATGGCTTCCTCTTATGATTTGGAAATTTGCACATGCTTATTGCTTACATTGTGCGGTTCAGTGTCACTACAGCTTTTTCTCATTTATGCCGGACTGTTGTTACCCCTTTCTTATTTGTTTGTGGTCCGCACAATAAGGAGCAAAAGAAAGCTTTGACAAAAAAAAAAAAAAAAAAAAAAAAAAAGGAAAAAACCAAACAAACAAACAAAAACAAACAAACCAACAGCAACAGACTTTGACAAATGCACTGACTTTTCTTTTTTTTTTAATTTAATGTAGCCTGGACTTTACCTGCATATGCACATGCTCAGAATTGTCCTAGTAGGCTGATCATGTATCACCTCTTCAGCTTGGATCCTATTGTGGATTTATTTACAAACATCAAATGCCTTCAAGCCAATCCTTCTTGCTTTATGTTTTGCAGCCTACTGTAGTAGATAAGCAACAGATGTGGGGATAGGGTGGGGGATGAAGAGTTAATAGACAGAAACTAATAGACTTCATCAAGATTGTATACCTTCTTGATTTCTTTTAAGAATTTGTTGCCTTTCTACTATTATCGCAAAGCAGCATTTTGTTACAGACTGCCTAAAAATCACTTAATCTCAGGTGAACTCATCACTTGCCAAACTGTTGGAATGCTATTTGTTTTGTTACATTGCACTGTTAAGTTCTTTTTTGTTTTGTGTTTGTATTTTGTTTTTGTTCTTTATTAGAGAGGGAGATCTGGAATAGGGACATACACAAAAGTTACAAAACCCGCCCTCATTCCCATTCTCTTTCTGCATTATAAAAAAAGATGTTCAAGTTGTGAAGCTCTAAAAAAAAAAAAAAGGCACAAATGAAAGCAGCACCAGCAGACATCAGCTCTTCCTCAAAAAAAATTTGAAAGGAAATAGTCATACACTGTCTAGGATTCATAGACAGATCAATATCTCAAGTAGGTAGGGATGGGAAGGGAAAGTAAATCTATTTTTATATATAGCTACTTAATCACCAAAAATTCTATATATAATAAGCCTAGTAGAAAGTATATTTCAAACTACAGGAAAAGCTTGTATTATGCTAAGAGCTCAGTTTGTGCACTTTGTATTATCTTCAGGGTTTATGATACTGTAAAAGATTAGAAGTATAATTAAACTGGGAAGGATCAGTGTTACCAGCCATACTTAGATACAAGTTATCTGGAATTGCTTCCACGATTACATCTTAATGTGGTACTCTCAAGAGCTTTAAAACAAAGAGAACAGTGAGTTTTACTGTATATTCATTCAAAATGCAAGAAATTATGTGGAAAGAGCACTTGCCCTTGAGTGTGCCCAAAGAGAAAGAGTGCAAGGGAGCCGTTAATTGTGCTAATGTGAATACCAGCACTTACAGGCTAGAGAAGTATAATGGAAATCAACTTTCCTTTTCAGAAACCATGTAACACAGACCACTGACAAAGGGACACCGTTCTGGTCTTGACTACTTAAATAAATCAAGATGTAATCCATCAAATACTTATCTCCTTGTGCAATAAAACAGCTCACAGAGTGGAAGAGGAGATGCTGGTGTTTTTGCATGGTGCTCATTCTTAAAAACCTCTGCCTTGTTTTTAAGGCTTCATCAATGCGACAAAATAGGCTTTTCCATAAGTGGCCTTTATGAGAACATGAAGGATAATTCATGTTTCAGATATGACAACAGGGTGATAAAATATTAATGAGTCGCGTTTTAAGTGATTCAGTTAAAAGGCTTGGGCTTTGAGCAGGAGTATTGGTGAGAAGGAAATTAGATTATGTCTTATGTTACTAAGCCAATTTTGTGGATGTCCCTTCCTTCTACCCTCTCCAACCAGACAACTTTAAAAGCTGATGGGATCGTAGGTGTAAAAGGGCATTTGGTGGTTTTACTTTTTTTTCCTTTTTTGTTATTTTAACAGACTAGGGAACAATTGCTGATATACATAGCATTAAAGTACTTACCACAATATAATAGAAAATTGCATATGAAGCAGGATTGACCAATATCATAGCAATTGACATGGCATCAGAGCCTTTTTGATTAGAGCAAAAAATTGTATAAGCTTATCAAATAAAGACTTCCAGTTTCAATTATGTTCATTATTCAGAGGCATTACTCTTCCACAAATGTTGGTCAATTCTCAGCATTATAAAACATGAGGTTCACAGTTGTAGCCCAGTATTTGATAGAGAATTCTGATCTGAATTAGGAAAAAGTAAGTAAAATCCAAACATTAGAGAAACAAAGTGCAATATTAAATGTTTGCTTTATAGATTATATTCTATGGCTGTTTGTATTTTTTGTTTGTTTTTAGTTTTGGTGCTGAATATGTCCTTGTAGACTCTGTTTCAAGAAAACGATATGTGGAAAACAGTTTAATTTTTCCTATTGCTCTTCCTTGTGGAAAATAAACTTTTGTAAAAAAAAAAACAAAACAGGTTTTAAATGTCATACCTATGTATAAAATAAAAACCACAAGGATCACATAATACAGGAATCTACTACAGGAACACATGTATTGCCTGTCTCAAACTACATAGGGAAGAGCTGTTTCTAGAACTATACCACCAAGTACCACGGGAGTCTAGTTTTGGGATCCTTTGCCCCTTTTGTTTACATTGGTGAGCTCATGGGGCTGGGTCCCAGATGGGAAGCTGTGGTTTCCTGAATGTGGAAATGCCTTTTCAGGATACTGTGTTAGTATGGCATTGCAGCTGCAGTAACTCTGTTTCCAGGTGTCTGGTCCTTTCCCTTAGGGGTAACACACATTTTGGAGGGGTAGGGGGAAATTGGGGGGTGACTTCAAAGGTCTAGTTTGCAGCTGGGACTTTGAAAAGTGGTTTGTTGAGTTGGGGTGTAGAAGGTGCCCTTTCCCCTTGGAGGTGAGCAGATGTGGGCATGTCCACCTGTGCCCTGCACAGGTTGTTCAGTGTCCCCAGTGTGCCGGTGGTGTGGCATCTCCCTTCCGCATACCACGCATGTGCGAAATGGATTCTCATTATCCTTCAAGATCAATGTGTCATTTGACCTAGGAGAAGGTTCATCAGGCAAACAGCCAGGGGCTTGAGCAGCCAGCCTGCCTGTGCCTCTGTTGGTGTCTAGGGTACTAGCAACCACTGTGTTCCCACGGGACTGTACCTTCCCTTCAGTGATGCAGCTGCTAATGTGGGCAACACGAAACATCTAATCCAACATCCTACATAATAAAAATAGAAACTTCTCTCCGAAATAGAGCATATTAGCTTAATTTTGAGTTTCTTATCGGTGAAGAATCCAGGCAGACTGAGGGTTTATTTCCCCCCATTAATAACCCTGTTAACTTTGAGATCTGGTTTAAACCAACAAGAAACATGAAAAAGGTTGTCTTGTCATTTCACTTGTCTGCTTGGAGATCTGTTGTTGGTTAACCTCTGCTGGCAACTAAGCACCACACAGCTGCTCTCTTAGTCCCCCACCAACAGGATGGGGTAGAGTCGGAAGAGGAAAAGTGCAAAAATGTGTGGTTTCAGATAAAGACAGTTTAATAAAGCAAAAGCCACAGACACAAGCACAGCAAAACAAGGAATTCATTCCCCACTTCCAAAGGACAGTCTTGTGTTCAGCCATCTCCAGGAAAGCAGGACTCCATCATGCCTTAACGGTGACTTGGGAAGACAAACACCATCTGAAACACTCTGAATGTACCCCCCACTTCCTCCTTCTTTCGCCGGCTCTATATGCTGAGCATGACATCATATGGCCTAGAATATCCCTTGGGTCAACTGGGGTCAGCTGTCTGCTTGTATGCCCTCCCAACCCCTTGTGTACCCCCAGCCAGCTCACTGGTGCGGTGGCACAAGGAGCAGAAAAGGCCTTGATGCTATGTAAGCTCTGCTCAGCAATAACTAGAACATCTCTAGGTTGTCAGTGCTGTTTTCTGTGCAAATCCAAAACACGTCCCCATCCTGGCTACTGTGAAGAAAGTTAACTCTACCCTAGCCAAAACCAGAACAAGCTTCATATAGCTGAGTAGCAATGTTTTATTTTATTTTTTTTGTAATACCAGCACAACCCTTCTTAGGGCGTTTCTAATGCTATGTGACAGTGTTAGAATTTAAATTAGCACCATTTAGGGGACACACACTGCCAAATCTCACATCTTCAGACCCGCACCTCTAACAATTAAACTTAGCTTTATTGTCAGCATTATTATATTGGAAGTTACCAGAGTTTTATTATATGAGATCTGATTTTTTAAATGCAGATGTTTCTTATTTCTTAATATAAATACCGGAGTGCATGTACAAAACTGAGCTACACTAGGAGGTAAAAGTAGTGGCTGTTCAACATCAGCTGTCCTTAAGTGTACAGAACAGCAGGAGGTTTACAATTGCTTAAGCATTTAAGCTTTGAGAGGCAGTGTTGCAATGTTTATCAATACATTTGCTGGCAAATATCTAGCTAAACACGTACCTAGCGCTTTTTAACTCCTTTCTAGATTTAAGCCTTTTTGTGTTTTATAGAAATGTATCACTACCTCACCATAATCTTAGCTTTCCACAGCACAGCTAGAAGCACAAAGCCCAGAAGGGTCTCCAGAAGCAGCATGTGAAGCTGGGCAGCCACCCAACAATGTTTTTCCAAAGGAAAACATCTTTGCCCAGGCCAATGCTGCTGATCTGAATCAATTCCTGTGACTCTAGGTGCATGGCTATGGGCAACTCCACAGAGAGACAAATGTAGATTTTCAGTAGGCCAGTGCTGCAGGAGGACAGCTGTTCCTGGTGCCACAGAGACCAGACTTCCCAAGTTTTTTGCATTTTGAGTGGAATCCCCTTTCAGAGATCCACAGACACTT